TGTCTTCTTTGCGGAACCTTTGGATGTATTGGTGCCTATAGTTAATAGTTTATTCATTGTCTACCATATAATCACAATCAGTGAATGCACTGTAAATACAGCCAATTGTTTACTCATCGTATGACTATTAAGCAAGCATTGGCTGTAATGCAGTGCATGGAGAGGTCATACCCTTGGCCTGGGAGGACATGTGCCTCCAGAGGCTGATAATAGGCCGGTAGTGGTGTCTCATGTGGTTCGCGGTGGTCAACACAAACAAGCAGACAATCACAGGATTACTATTACGGCGACTCAACACAGACTCTGTGTCACAGACTGTGTTGTATTGGTTGATGTCATGCGCAGTGAAGCAGTGCTGCAGTGGTTTGTGTTTACTGTTGGAGTCAACTCTGACTGCTGTCTACTGTTGTGTGACTTTTGTTGAAATATATAAACAAAGCATAAAATGGATGAAGACTTGTGTGGTAAGGATCCCAACGCCACTCATCCCCACGCGTATGGATCGCCACAAGCGGACACCACCTCTCACTCGGCGCACCACATAAGCCACACTGTGATGGAGACCTGCGATGAGTCATCTCATGGCCAGTCGTGCCACTCATCGCATCCCTTACATCGGTATCGATCGCGCACTTCGTTTGGCCGACAATTATCCAACACTGAGATCAGTCGCCGCCGACGGGACTCACTCTCGGCACTCAACTACCAGAACCTCTCGAGCAGTGGTTCCATCATTAATGTGGTGTCAGGTGTGTTGTCTGCCATCGATGCCATCCATTGCACATCCTTTCATCCATTGCTAACATCCAACACATGTGTGTCTTTAGGAGGAGGAGGAGGAGAGACCTCTAATTTGGTGCGATTCCGGTCATCACTTATGGGACAATCGGCGCCTTCGCTCTCACCCTCAATGGTAAGACATTAAGACATTTACTTTGGCATCACTTCTACACATTTGCCGCCTTATGGCCCACTGTTATCACTAATCATATACAGAATATTGCTCTCATATATTGCAGAATATTCCGATTCTCGCGTTTATATATAATATTTACTCATTTTTTCATACAATTAACTATCATTTGAAAGCTTTTGCCAAATATTTGTTTATAAGTTGACAAAATTGATTGAACTAAATATAACCATCAATTTAAACATAGTGTCACTTTTGAATAACTCATGAGACATTTATTATCTCAAAAGTCTAGTACTTTTGGTCCCATTGGAGCCATCATCAGGAGTTATGGCTTGCAATGAGATAACAAATTATATTTTAAAGGATTTGTTTAATTACTCAATTGATATATGATTGTGATTTGGAGTGCATATTGAGACATACGGTGTCGGACTGTCGACATACAGCTTGTCAAGCGTTTTATCATTTATATACCTGTAAAGAGTTTAATGTTTTTTCAAATATTTATGAATTTAATAATATTTTTACTTAACATTAGCAACACTTAAGTATTGCATGAATGGCACGAGTATTGAAAACAGTATTTTATAATATGAATCATTCATTGATTTTGTTTCAAACAATATAATTAATAGANTATATTTTAAAGGATTTGTTTAATTACTCAATTGATATATGATTGTGATTTGGAGTGCATATTGAGACATACGGTGTCGGACTGTCGACATACAGCTTGTCAAGCGTTTTATCATTTATATACCTGTAAAGAGTTTAATGTTTTTTCAAATATTTATGAATTTAATAATATTTTTACTTAACATTAGCAACACTTAAGTATTGCATGAATGGCACGAGTATTGAAAACAGTATTTTATAATATGAATCATTCATTGATTTTGTTTCAAACAATATAATTAATAGACTTTCGTAACCATTCTTTATTATAATACCTTATAATCTCGAAAGCAATCGATTATTTGTTTTCTAAAAATACATTTCAAGTAATTATTATAAAGAATGGGAACATCTCTTGTGATAATCAGAATCTATTCATTCTGTAAAGTTATGGTTATTATACAGTACTAAAGATACGATATTATTATTACTACATTATAGTAACGACTTGTTATAATCGCGTAAAACATTCATTTTAATGAATATTACATTTTTTATTTATTAATAACTTTTAATTATATTTTTATTGAAATGATTTTAATTCATATCTATTTTTAATAACTTTATAAAATGAAATTTTAATTTAAAGCACGTTTACGGTAGATATTTGAGGCATATTATAGATAATGTAACGCAAATAAATGATGGATCGATAATTGGGATTTTAACTTATTTAACCCCTAAATTGAGTTAATGGATGAAAATGTTTTATAACGAAATGTAAATGTTTTGTAATGTTAGTGACAAATAGTCTACTGTTAGTTGGCATTGAAATCAAATTTGACGATTTATTGGATCGAAATGAATAGAAAGTGTAGAGCGATGTAGAATTGGTGCCAAAGTTTCAAATATTTTGTTCAATTCAAATAATGTTTGTATTTATGACAGAAGGAGACTAACAATACGAGAAAAGCGCAGTAAGTGTTGAAATATAGGCAATCATTAAGAATCGCTTAATTGTTTAATTGCTTTCAAACTTTTAGTCGGTGCGCAACCCGTAAAAGTCTTATCCCAAACACGTCGCCAACACTTCCCAGATCTCCATTACCACAAAGTAATCGATTCAATCAGTTTAATGATGGTATGTTAACTCGTAGTCTGAATTTTATAGGCAGTCCATTGGAAAGCCCTCGCAATATGTCTCCGTCGACTCATTTTGTGTTCGCCGCCACCAAGAAGATTGAGGGCAGGCGTTGGTCTGTGGCATCCCTTCCCTCCTCTGGTTACGGCACAAACACTCCAAACAGCTCTAACGTATGCTTCATATTATACTCTATGATATCTCACTGTTTTATAGCAACTTATATAATGAATCCAATGATTCTATAGTCTCAGTGTTCATCACAAGAAAAGTTGCACCAATTGTGCCATTTATCACACGAAGACTCCTCTCATACGACTGGTGGCGCACATGTCGGCCATCACACGCATCACTGTTGTCATCACCTCAACCACAATCTCTTACAACATACACATCACCACAAGATATTAAATTTAGAAGCGGCTCAACATTTCAGTAGTAATGACAGCAATCAGGGATATGACGACGAGGTTCGATGCCTTTCACCAATGATTAGGCCGCGCTCTAGGAGTCTCAGTAGTCCTGTCCGGTCCCCCAGCGCTGACAGCGAAAGGGTTTTAATGAATAATTTATATAAAGAGAGATTCCCGAAAGCCACGCAACAAATGGAGGAAAAGCTGTCGAAATTCATAAGCGATCAGTTGAACGTCGATGACATCGAGTGTTGGGCCGCATCTGACGCAGTGTTCCGCTTCGCGCACCATCAGGTGATTGAATTGGCCAAAGATTGTCTCCAGAAGTCTCAGGACAAACTCATCACTTCTCACTACTTCTTCGAGATTTCCGAGAACTTGGAGAAACTCTTAGTTGAGGTTTGATTTTTCATAGATTTTGTTGCTTTAGTGTTCTTTAGTGTAAGTTTTGTATGATTTGTGTTATAAACAGTGTCGCGAAAAGTCACCGACGGCTGCAAACCTATTATGTTCGCTGATCAAGAAGTTGTTGATCATAGTGTCCCGTCCGGCGCGGCTCTTGGAATGCCTTGAGTTCGATCCCGAAGAGTTCTATCGACTCTTGGAAGCAGCTGAGGGACAGGCGAAGTCAACGCAAGGCATTAAAGTGTCGGTTCCGCAATATATAATCAGCAAATTGGGACTCAATAGAGACCCGTTGGCAGACATTTCTCCTGATCTCGAAAACTTAGACATAAAAGACAACAACGAATTGGACTCGAAATCCGATGGAAAGAGCGAAGTGTTAACTAAACCTCCGTCTGAAGAGGACTACGAGACAATCAAACTCATCAGTAACGGCGCCTATGGAGCCGTACATTTGGTGCGACACTTGGAATCGAGGCAAAGGTTTGCGATGAAAAAGATTAATAAACAGAATCTACTTCTACGTAATCAAGTGGAACAGGTGTTTGCCGAACGAGATATCATGAGTTTCACAGACAACCCGTTCGTTGTCTCAATGTTTTGTAGTTTCGAAACCAAACGCTACTTATGTTTAGTGATGGAGTACGTGGAGGGCGGGGACTGCGCCACACTTCTCAAGAATATGGGACCATTTCCTCTGGATTTGTCACGACTATACTTCGCTGAGACGGTATTAGCGGTCGAATACCTTCACAGCTTCGGTATTGTCCACAGAGACTTAAAACCCGATAACCTATTGATCACAGCGTTGGGTCACATAAAGCTAACGGACTTTGGGTTATCGAAAATGGGTTTAATGAATTTGGCCACAAGTCTGTCCGAGGGATACCTCGACCGCGAGACCAAGCAGTTCACCGACAAACAAGTCTTTGGAACGCCTGAGTATTTGGCCCCAGAAGTCATACTCCGACAGGGATACGGACGTACTGTCGACTGGTGGTCGTTGGGAGTGATTCTCTACGAGTTGAGACCAAGCAGTTCACCGACAAACAAGTCTTTGGAACGCCTGAGTATTTGGCCCCAGAAGTCATACTCCGACAGGGATACGGACGTACTGTCGACTGGTGGTCGTTGGGAGTGATTCTCTACGAGTTTCTGATCGGTTGTGTGCCGTTCTTCGGCGAAACACCCGACGAATTATTTGCTCACGTTATCAATGATGAGATTGAATGGCCTGATGATCACGACTGGCCTCTCAGCGATGACTCCAAGGATATTATATCACAACTCTTACAACACAATCCTATTGATAGGTTAGGCGCCGGTGGGGCTCATGAAGTGAAAGAGCATTCATTCTTTGATGATATCAATTGGGAGGCATTGCTTCGACAAAAGGCTGAGTTTGTGCCTCAACTCGATGGTGACGACGACACCAGTTATTTCGATACCCGCGCCGATCGATACAATCACGACTGCGTCGACTCCGAAGACTTAGAAGACACGGACGACAGCTCTTTGTTCGGAAGTTTCTCGTCTTATTCGCCGCGTTATCGCAAAGTCTACTCCAGAATAGAGAAAGAGTTGGAACAAGAGAACAGACTTCGGTTGTCCTCTTCGTCGTCATCACTCAAAGAGGAGACAATCATTTGCCCGAAGAGTAGGACGTCTTCAACCAAATCTGATTCAGCCATTTCTCGGTCACTCAGTGTAACCGAAGACCAATTGATGATCAGTGAACCGCCGCATCACAGATCTCTGGATTCGAGGGGCGGCGGCGCCTGTAATCCCAATGTATGCAAACCTATGGCTCAGAGCACTCCGGATTCGCGCGACTCATCTCAGACCGAATCGGACGATATTTCGCCGCAAATCTATAGGAAGAGAAAGCCTTTGAGTATCACTAAAGACTCGTTACCGAAGTTCTCATTCAGTGTTGACGACACGTCTACTCTATACGAGGGCTCCAATTCTCCGACGCAAATCTCCATCAAAGAGTTGCCACCATTGGAACCACTGGACGAAAGTATCTCCTCTTCCGATGAGAAGAGTTCGTCGTCCAGAAGACTATCGGATGGCCCCTACGGCTCAGGTCTACCCGTTTCCGCTAAAATCACAATCCCTTCAGTTTCGCCATTAAGACAACCGCCGATGCGCTCACGAGCTGTCATTAAGTCTGCCTCTGCTTCTGGTTTATCGCTGATTATATCATCGGATGATTCATCAGTCGCTCGCATGGGCTCACTAGCGGCCACTTCGTCGGGCGGCTCAACGACCAGTTCTCGCGACACTTCGCCTAATCGTGAAATGAATTCTCTGGCCTCTCAACTCAAACCGCCCATTATTCTGCGCAAAGGACCAAGGGGGTTTGGGTTCACCCTCAAAGCCATTCGTGTCTATTACGGAGACTCGGATTATTTTATTGTCAATCATTTGGTTTTGGCCGTCGATAGCAAAAGTCCCGCTTTTGAAGCCGGTTTGAGACCCGGGGATCTGATCACTCATATAAATGGCGAATCTATTACGGGTCTCCTTCACCCCCAGGTCTTACAACTGGTGCTATCGGGAGGCGATAAAGTGAACATAAGAACCACTCCATTGGAGAATACAAGCATCAAATCCGGGGGCCGTAAGAGAAACCCCCACCAATCAAAAATGGCCCCCCGAAGACCTGTCAATAACAACAAACACCATAAGAATGTTAAGTCAAATCACGTCAAGAGAAGTGATTCCGACAAAAGGCGCAGATCTTCGCTCTTTCGTAGACTGAGTTCAAAGAGAGCGAGCGTTGAGATGAATCAGTTGGTCATCAACACCAGTGGCTCCTCCACTCAATTGCCGCCAATAACTCCCCCTCCCGTCTCTTCGCAACAAATAACTCCGAGCCGTAGCTACCAATCCCTTCACCGGACTCTGGCTAACGTATCGCTCGATAATGTGATAACAAGTAGTGGAAGCACTTCATCATCAGTGACTACGCCCGCCTATAGACTGACCACATGTTCGCACTCATCGGACTCATCCAATACGACGGGTAACTCATCGGTGGACAGTTCTCCCAACAGTTCTACCCCTAACTCTCCCGCCAGTACTGCCCGACCCTCTAGTCTTCACGGTCTCAAACATAAACTCATTCAAACATTTCGGTCGCCGCGGCGCAAATCTTGTGGACACATCCCGCTATCACCTCTGGCCAGAGCTCAAGCGCCCACCGTCAACACACTTCAGGCCACATCCCCGACCTCACGATCTCCTTCACCGCTCGCATTCCCAGTCCACCACCAAATCGGAAGCTCGCAAACCACGCAAACATTTGTTATCCAAAAGAATTCTTCTGGAGTCAAATTGGTTGCCAACAATCTCTTGACTCCAAGCGATATCCGAGCGAATAGTAGCGACGGAACGCCTCTTATAAGGAGTACATCCCCGGAGGCATTGAATGCAAACAAATTGTCTGACAATAACAGCTCGTTTGCTTTGAAGCTAAAGAGAGAATCGTTGACCAGTTCTCCATTAGCTCTGTCTTCATGCCCGCCGTCAACCTCTTTGTCGAAGTTAGCGCTCGAGTCAACCAAAAAGCAAAGCAATAATTCGCCGAAAGGCTCGAAGAAGTTAATGGAAAAATCTTGTGATGCATCCATTGGTGGCAATAAGACCTCTAAGATAAGCTCCACGAGTGATACAAAGCAAAGCGATTTGATTTCGACCTCTTCTTCTTCNTGTTGTTAGTCAAACTAGTTTTTCTAATCTTACATAATGATCGCCAGAGACTCATATAGTCTGATAAAAACAGAGATTGCCTGATGATTGCCAATGTTTGATATACAGTACAGTAATATACAGTATTTAACAATAACAAGTCAATTTAATTTTCAATATTTATTCCAAATGAAATAAGTTTTTTTACATTAAAACAAATTAACATTTTCTACATTTTATATAACAATTAAACAATTAATTTACAATTAAATACATTTTAATTCGTATGAAACAAAGTCAAGACTAAGGACTAAATTGTCTGAATTTGTCGAAAAATTTAATGCAAAGCGAGTGCAGGATTTGACACTCGATTGACACTAATTTATAGGTATTGAAGCGAGTAATCAATAAATGGTTTCACTCTTCATTTACTTATGTAATCCAATTCACAACTCATTATTCAAACACTAATTGACTGTCAGTTGAAAATACAAAAAGAGGGAAATCAATAGAAATATATAAAGAGTACATAAATACATAAAATGTATAATCAGTTACTCTAAGAATTACTCCATCATTCACACCACTTTGCATTTCATAACATATTTACAAATTATTACTTGTATTGAATCAAAACATTCAAAATAATAATTTAATTATAGATAAAATGAGTGTAAATAAAAAACATTTCGTACTTTCATTGCTTTGAAATTAATCCGATTATTAAGACAATGAGTTCTTAAATGAAAGGCAAAAAACATTTCAAATTGATAATAACAGTCAATTCAAGATAGGGGTAGTACTGAACACACAGTTTCTTCACCGGAAATGAGTTCAAACCAATTTTCAACAAAATTGTATCGAAAACAATGCAATTATGAGATAAGAAAGTGTCTCACAATTTGTCTATATTTACATTTAGAGAAGCGATGGATTTAAGTGTCTATTAATTAATCAATTAATTAATATAATATTCAATTGAATTGCAGTTGAATATCATTTGTTTGAATTGTTTTTTGTCGAACTGTTTGATGACTTAGAAGAAGATGATGAACGACTCGACGACTTCTTCTTATCGTAAGAGACACTCTGTTTGTTGAGAAACTTCGTGGTTGTCGAGGAGACCGTGGATGAGGTCTTACTCGACTTACTGACCACTGAACTGCTACTACTGCTTGTGGTACTGGAACTGGAGCTCGAACTGGAACTGTGTTTAGCTGATCGTCTGTCGGTTTGTGTCTCACTTGTGGTCGATAGAGTCATTCGGTTGGAGTCCAGAGTGGGTCCACACGTTCCACACGTTTTGTTCGACATTTGAATGACATTCGACTCGCAAGAAGAAGAAGAGGTCGAAATCAAATCGCTTTGCTTTGTATCACTCGTGGAGCTTATCTTAGAGGTCTTATTGCCACCAATGGATGCATCACAAGATTTTTCCATTAACTTCTTCGAGCCTTTCGGCG